ATCCCAAACTGGTGCTACGGAAAAGCCATCGTCCCCGTTGAAATTAAGATTTTTTTTTAATTTTAATGGCTTCTCACAACATACTGGCATACTTATAAACTTTTTGAAGAAACTTTTCTTAAATATTATTTTAAGACGCTATACTGGTGATTATTGTTCGTTTGTTAACAAAATTACGCGTGGTTTTCCACCAAAATAAAACTTCAGCCTGTATACAAAATTCGGATCAATTACCAACGTAAATATTGGTTATTTGGACTAATACTTCTTTAGATATTTATGTTGCGTAATTTTAAACAACGTGGTAAATGGTTTTATTTCTGTATGCACGCAAATGAGACGTTCGTTACAAATCTATATTTTCTAGATAGGCATTCATATACAGCACGACTAAGGAAAATCCAATTATTTGGTCTATTCCGTTACTCTGGTACCCATAGTAAAGGGACACTATACCTACTATTATTTAAAAGAACTTCAAAATGTAATTTTAACTATTATTAAATTCATTTGAATAATTCTAGTTCTGTGCGAGCAGTAATAGGAAAAAGGAAATGTCCGAAGGCAGGCTGCCAAATTGTTAACGAAATTGAAGAAACCCCCCTCTTGATTATGGTAATAGCAAGACGAAATTTCCCTAGCTGAAGATATAAGGAATATTTGAGACGTAATTATATTTAATATTACACCTATGCGTAGTAAAGTTAAGCGATATTCAGAATTATTATAAACTTTTAATTGTATTTTGAGCTATTTTTAATAATTCTTTAAATCATGCCGTAGTGTGTAAACAAACTTGACAAGTAACAATCGAGTTAATAATTCTATTGACGAATTGCGATGGTGCCATTAATGAAGTTGTAATCTATATAAAATTGCTACATAAAGTTATTAAATAACTACAGTAATCATGGAGTGTTCTAGCACTTTGTAATCGATTCTATAATTTCCACGGAGTGGTCTGTGATAATTTCGCTTAAAGCGCGCGGTAAGTGGGGGAGGGGCTTGTATAGCGCCGCCTCCGCTCGAAGCGCGCCCATTGGGCGGATGCCACTGATTGTCCATAGAGTACAGATGGCCATTATGCAACTACATTACCGTATTTAAACTGATAAGGCCAATGTAGTACTTTGAGAAATTGATTCCGTTTTTAGTAAGCTTCGTTTGATATTTGTTTTTTTATGAAATATTTTTGAAGATCTAGAGTTTTATTTGCTTTTAATTTGGAAAGTTCGAAACACACTCAATTTAAATAATCTTTATTTCATAGGTGAGTAAGTAATTGCACTTAAAATCGACACATTGATTAATTTCTACCTATTACTCATTCGTAAGGCAAATTCCTCTGCAAATAATGAGTAAGAAACTTTAGGGGTTGCTTGTTGTAAATAAAAATTTGTATACATCTATCGTTTAAACATTTATATTAAATATAATAGATCTTTAAACATGAAATTAAAATAAATATTGTAAGACAGACAACCTGCAAGACCCAATCAGGTCACTGCCATGCATTTCTGTCAGACTATTTGTAATGCTTTTTTTTATATGTTTATAGTAGTAGGTAGATAATATTACTTATTTATAAACAATATTTTTTGTATATTTTAGATGGTAAAAATAAACAAAAAATATTTCCTCATCATTAAGGATATCGGAAAGAAACGCAGATGACAATGCATCTAGTTTTCATTTTATACGATGATTAGAAGACGTGTGCGATACTGTATCTGACACAAAATTTAATCTAAAGACGACCCAAAGATTCGATCGAGTAGAAAGAAATGAAAGGAGCGGCAGCGACCTGAATACGAATAAATTGAGCTCTTTGTTCTATCAGGTAGATGTCAGATCAAGTGTCGCCGCCTGGGTGGTCCCGGCTAGATAGCACAAACATTTTGAACATATTATGATGGAAATGTGCTCTGCCTGAACGAACGCCGCAGTATTGTCGCACTGAACCACGACTAATGTCATATGTCCCCAACCATTTTATTCCGACCTCGAAAGAAATATTGTAGCAGTTGATAGCAGTCTATGTTGTTTGTCACTTTCTTTGGTAGAGATGCATAAAGGTTTTTCAAAGGTGTCAAAATGAAATGGACGCTTGAGTTTCCACGCGTCGTGTTGAATCCTGATTGCCGTTCATTTACGGGTGAGGCCTGTACCATTGTTACGCGCTGGGTGACTCCTCGCTCCTTTGTTGTTTTGATGTCAGCTTTCAGGCATTACGGATTATTTAAAATGGGCACTTCGTTGACCATTTGGAGCTCTCTACATTTTTGTTACCTCTTAGGAAGATTTTTTATGATACCAAGTGACGGAACGAACAAGTCGTACACCTGGTGATGAGCGACACACCTGTCCATAGTAGTTGCTCTGAGAGGCACTGCCACTGCACCCGTCACCCGGATATATAAGTTGAAAAGTCTCATGTGTCTGTAATTTCGCCAGCACCTTTTCTTTTCAAAACCGGAACGCAGTAATGCTCGCATTACTGATTGGCGGCAGAGATAGGGCAGGTAGCAGTACTTCCCTGGACGAACTCTTTCACAGGAAGCTCCACTGCTACAATAAAGGTATTAAAAAAAATTCAAAACTAAATATCATAAGATTATCATCGATCAATGTAGAGACGGCAACAAGAAACGAACAACTTGTCAATACAGGTTCTAGAAAAGATAAGCGCAAGTATCGAATCAAATGTTAGCAAGACCTGCTTAACACTTTAATCGTCAGCTATAGGTCAGTGCAGTCGATAGGAACATGTCCTGACGGGCGACGATAAAGCGGCGCGAGCGCACATAAATAAATATATTCATTAGGTGACACCCACGCGATATCTCGGCACTAAATCCTCCGCGTCGGCCCCTGTCCAAGAGGCTGTATGTACGACATCTTTTGCTGCCACTTTGAAAATAAAAAGAGTAGATATGAACTCGTAAGTATCTTCATTAAGTTCTAATTGAAATCGTTGTTTCCGTTTAAAAATGTTTTATATTTATATTTATCTTATTTAGAGTCTATTATAGGAACTTTCGATAGACATTAATAAAACCTGTAAAATGAACTACATGAGACCGAATCTTCTGGCATTATTCTTTTAAACGTGTTTTTAAAAGATAGGATTTACATATTTATTTATTTATACTTATTTAAAAAGTGCCAAAATTCATGACTAAGTTGTGGCTGTAGGTTTATCATTATTTAATTGTGGCAGTTAAAATGACATCTTTAAGTTTTGTTATTGACTTAAACGCTATATAACTACATTGAACGATTTGATATTTTATACTTAATTTTGGTGGTGCCAGTTTAGAACAAAAAACTGTCGACAGCCAGAGCTAGTCAACATAGGTAGGTACCTATCGGCTCCGGCGCACGCATGTGTGATTATTATAATAAAATAATAATTGAAGAAGATTGGTTTGGTTCGTCTGAAAAGTTTTTTACTTATTATTACTTCTTTTATAAAATGCATATTGAGTTATTTTTGAAATGTTAATTTCTATATATAATCATTTCCACCAATTTCTAACAGATACAGGGGCACAGTGTGTTTCCCCAATGTTAATCTAGTTCGTTTTATGGATGCATGTGGTTTGCTGTTACTCTTATATATATGATTATCTCTATTTCAATTTATAATAGAAAGTGGAACAAGAAAATTGCGATAAAATACACACATATTAGTCTTTCTAGAACGATTGATAAAATCTTTAATATATAAGTGTACTTATTAAGTGCTCTATTAACAAAAGAAGATATCAGTACAATCGGAATAAATAATACCGCAGTGCCAATTATCCCGTATTTACATAAGTAATTTCGAGTAACAACGGAAACCGCAATGTCGATCGAGATTGATGCAAATTAAAGAGGCTAACACAAAGAAATGGTATTTACCATCAAAGAAACGAATTCAAAAGCTTTTTTCGCGTCAGTTGCACTACGGCGAAATCTTCCGACAATCCTCTTTTCAATTCGGGTAATTACAAAGTAAACTCAGCTGTAATAGAGAAATATTTAAAGATTTTAAACGTAATTAGTGCTAGTATACACTGTATAAACCACACTGTTAGCTATAATTAAGTTTTCGGTAAGTTATAATTACCTCAATAAATATTTGCGTAGGTTCTAGAAAAATATTTCAATTAATAATTTAAAAGCGACACATCCTGTTAATGCAATTATTAGTGCTTTCCACCTGATACACAACAGTCACGTTCTCATGTTCATCAATAATGAAATGTCTCCGCTTTGAAAATAGTATCTTCAGAGCAAACAATAAAGCTTACTTCGCAGAGTCGCACAATGTCGAATTATACTCTTTAACTAATTAGAATAGAGCTTAGCCACCATACCGACTATTAAAACAGATGCTAAGCATGGTTAACTAGAGCTACGTTTAATTAAGGCGCGATCCGTGATGTTACCGTTGTCTCAAAAAATATTCATATTTCGCACGAGAAAGAAAGAGAGAAATATACATTAACACCTTCGTTACGAAGAAATGTTAAAAGATCACCTGTGCTCACTACCGTAATTCTACCAGCGGTTGAGCACCTGTCCCTTTCATACGGTTCATGCTTAAGCCGAACCGAACGAGTGCGAGTAGGAGTAGTTTTACGCGCATTCACTCCCAAAAGGCTCTAATAACCGCGAACAGAGTGAGGGAATGTGATCTTTACGCGTGGTCTGTGTAGAGCAATGCCAGTCGATGTAGACTATGAAGATCTAATGAACAGGACGGAAGGCTGAAATCGAATCGACCGGTGCCGTAATTTTGACGCGTTCGAAAATCGAATTAAGAACGTTAGAGTGAGAGGTGCATTGAGGTTTGATTCTGTGGAGGTAGTTTCTTGTTATTGTTTGGTTGCGGTGATTTTTTCCAAGGCGTGCGAATGGGAGTAGGCGCGCGAGTGGGCGCGCCGGCACGGCAAGCGCGCTCTTCAGTGTTCTGGCTGAGCTTCAAGCGAGCGCGTGCGGGACGAGTGTTGTCCGTCACATAGGTGCTTAGCTCTTGACTTGCCAAAAATACAATCGTGGGTTTGAGCGATCGTCGGGGACTCTTAGATTACTGTGGACTGTAGGGGCAGTGTGGACTTTTGGTGTCGTTTGCCGAAGTCGCAGAAGGCTCGTAGTCTAAAGGTGGCTCGACAATGTTGATATCGGCGGGCAGCGGCCCCACGCCCGAGTTCTCCCCTGTCTCGTGCTGCGCCCCCTGGAAGATGGAGCCGGCGCCCCCTGTACCCGCTGCCATCACACAGCCACTCAACATATCCCCAACAGGTCAGTCTGGTACAAACAACATTTTATTTTATATATTTCTTTATTAGCCACATAACATCTTCAAAAAATAGGAAAAATTATTTTCTTATTTAATAAATGTGTAAACATGAACGGCTCGAGATAAAAAAGAGATACAAGTTTTCAATACTACCAATTCCACATTTTTGTGAGAGTAACTTCTTGTTTGTTATGTTTTAGAGTTGAGTATTATGTTTTTAATAATTATATTATTAAAATTGATGAGGAATTTCAGCTAGTTATAGATACTATATAAGTAGTTTTGCATTTGTAGAAATCTAATTTAAGATTGCGTCAAGGTAGAAAAAGTTAATTCCTATTTACCTACAACTTACTTTTCTATTTACTGAAGGCAATTAATATTTTTACCAATTAATAATACAGTATTGGTATGTATAATAATAACAGTATTTTATGCAATCGATGCATAATGAGGGTTCCTAGGAGTCGAGTAGGTACAGTGTTTAGGCCACGAGGTTTTGCCAACTGGCCTAAGTAGGTAATGTGTACGAGAATTTAAGATCTAATTATGTAATTATTGCATACAATACTTTTTCTACGTGTAAATGAAATAATGAAACAGAACCAATATTTAATGTATGTTTTGTTAACAATCTATGACAACAAACGCAATTTTTTTTAATAAGTTTTAACCCATTAATAAATTCCATCAGCGGACCACCCGTGCCGGACTGCGTTGCCACACATGGACGGTCAGTTCAATACCGTCCCGCACTAAAAAGTTTGGCAATTCGTTTTTATGCCGAACCATCAAATTGTGGAACCAACTCCCGGCGCATGTATTCCCTCCCCTCTATAACATCGGGTCCTTCAAACGTAGTGTGAAGAAGCATTTGGCCAGACCGGCAAAATGATAGTGACGGAGTGAAGATATTTGTGTTTTCCATCCGTTACTCTCATCTCTGGACTGTATTCGCACTTTCCATCAGGCGCGGTGCAGTCATTTTGCCGAGTCACAATAAAAAAAAAAAAAAATGGATGTATAGGGTAGGCAAAGGTTCCACCTACATACAGCCTCTTCATTTATTAGACGAAAGTCACACAAACGCTACAAGACAAAAAACCAAAGAGATAGAATAGAACTGGCCAAGTACCGCATATATTTTAGCCAATATTTTTTTTATAAAGATTTATGGCTCGGTTGTAAGACTTTCAGGCCAATTTAACTAATCAGGAGGCAGTATAGCGTTTGAGCAGCGGGCACGTTCTTTTTTTGAAACTCATCACCGTTCTGTGTACAGACAGTCCTTTAATACTCATTGTAGTTCTGTGTACAGAACTTTAATGACTTTTTTCAGCTCAGCGGCGAGTACCATAGACAATAGAATTTTGATTCAGAATTAAAAGAGCGCGGAGTAGCAAATTAATTTACTTCCATTTTTATTAACGTGGATTTCCGCAAAGTAACGCCTGAATCTATTAATTACTTAAGAAGAGCGCCTCTAAGATATGGTTTATTATAAAACTATAATGGAGAAATTAAAGTACAGGAGTAGAAAAAATAAGTAATACTTGTGTAAGTAATACTTTTTCTTAAATGTAAGAGCTAAGTGTAAATGGGCCGCCATTTAATTGTTATATTTTTTAATAATTGTTCTACTCCTGGACTTTAATCTGTCAATTAAAATGTCATAAACCATATCATAAAGGCGCACTTTTCAGTTATGAACATTGACTTACAAAAATGGTTATGAATCAAAATTCTATTGTCTATCGTACTCACCACTCAGCTGAAAATTTTCATTTCATTTCATCAAGTTCTGCACGCAGGCTTTAGCCACGTCTAATTAGATTTTTTGTTTTCTGGCATTTGTATGGCTTTAGTCTGAATATATGAGGAGGCTGTATGATGGAACCATGCCTACCCTGATAAATTGGTTTAAATGCAGTGAGCATAAGTATAACATCATTGTTAAAATGTATTAAATAAAAATTGCGTTTATTGTCATGGAATGTTAACAAAATATAAATGAAATGTTGGTTCTGTTTTATTATTTAATTTGGTCGTAGAAAAAGTATTGTATGCAATCATTATATAATTAGGTCTTAAAATCTCGTACCTATTAATTAGACCACTCGGTAAAGCCTCGTGGCCTAAACTCTTCGTGGTACTCGACTTTAAGAACCTTCATTAAGCAACGAATGCATAAAATACTATTAATTATTTTTTTAATGGGATCGCATAAATTCTGGCAACAGTCAGGTTTAAAAATATTAACATTTTTGTAAAAAACTAAGATATTTACTAATGTAATTAAGTATTTATATTAGTAGATACTTAAATAAAATAATAACGCACACACTCAACATAGCCCCGCACTAGGGAAACCCTGTGTCGCGGGTGCCATGGACACACATATAGACAACCACAAATTACACCCAAACTCACGAGAGAAATAAATGTAGGCCATACAAACATTTCTCCCGACCCGGGAATCGAACCTGGGACCTCTGCGTGGCAGTCCGGCATGGTAACCGTTCGGCCACGGAGGCAGTTGAGTACTAGTCTTAGTATGTCCTTTTTGTTTTTGTTTCCTCTTCGTTTCGATTTGTTTCCTCTACGTTAACCTTCTGGTTAACGTAGAGGAAACAAATATGATACATTTCAAGAGAAAAGTATTGCTGGTTATGTTTAACCTTCCAGTAGTACATAACGCTCAAATTTTTTTTACGGTTTAAATTAGAACTCTTAAAGTTTTCCACAGTATATTTTATTGACTAGGAGACCCACGTCTAACAGTAAACCATGTAATATTAACACAGCACAAATATTCAGCTGTCAAACTGATTATTCACACAATGTAAATGTAGGTCCAAATACTTTTTCATGAAAAATGTAATATCTGCATTTACCGAGTACTGCTGCCACCTACAGGATGGAATGATTCTGCTAAATACCAACTGGCAACCTTGGATTCAGTTGACAAGCGTGCCAAGAGGCTTGTAGGTGACTCGGAATCTGTAGAGGCGAAGCTGCTGAGCCTTGAATATCGCCGTGAAGTTGCATGCTTGTCTGTATTCTACAGGATATATCACGGAGACTGTGCGATAGAATTGCACGATTTAATTCCGCCTTGCTCGTTCCATCATCAGGGGAATAGACTTAGGCTGGGGTTACACCCTTATGTTGTGGTTATTCCAAAGATTGGCAAAAAGTGTTACGCTTCCACTTTTATAGTGCGAACGGCTGTTGAGTGGCATTCCCTGACTGTAGACTTATTTCCTGGACGTTATAACTTGGGACTTTTCAAGACGAGAGAGAATAGACGTTATTCAAGTGTGCATGCTCCGTCGTCGACCTCATCGTTACTTTCCATCGGGTGAGATGGGATGAAATGCGCACTTATTCTTTTATTAATAAAACATACACCCACATCAATCTTATCAATCTTATCATAATCTTAGTATGATGACTAATATTAATTCTATAATTCTTTCTTGTTACTTATGTGACATTAGTAAGTTTATTTTTATCATCATTTGTATTAAAAAAATTACAATTTAATTGAATTTTACAAAATCGCTTAAAATAATTTCTAATTACTTAGACGCACGAGTACAGCTAGTTAGTAACATTAATATTATCAAATAATCATTAATTATAATTATACGTACTGAAATTTATTACACGTGTGAAATAAAAAGTTTGAAAAAACAAAAAATAATCCAGGAAATTAATTTTTTTTGTCCTTTATCTATATCGGGATATATGTTTTCAGTTTTTTTCATAATGTACTCATACGAAATGTCCCAAGACTATGCGACTCGGAAGAAAAGTACTTTAAATATTGTAGATAAGATATTTTGCTTCATGGAGACATTATATTATTTTTAAATCTTTATATTAATTGACCCTATCGATGAGGCAAGCAACAAAAATGAATGCAGTATTACTAACTTTTAAAATTAAAATAATGTCTCCATGCAGCAAAATAGCCTATCTGCAATATTTAAAACACTTTTCCCTCGTGCCTCATAGTCGTGGGATACCCACTACTATGAGGATAGTGTGAGAAAGATTGCTTCTCAATTGACAGATCTATGGTTTGAATCCCTATGCCATGCCGCCGTCTGACTTTAGTTTCTAAATTACGTAAATTTGTTTTGTTGCAATACTTCTTGCTAATGTTGAAGTCCCTAACCCATATAGGCACCGTCTGACTATAATAAATCGCCTTCTTGGATCCGTATCCACATATGATGAAATATAATAAAAAATAAGTAAAAATTTCATCGTCATCATCAACCCATTTATACGTCCCACTGCTGGGTCTCCTTTCAGACGAGGGTTTAGGCCATAGTCCGCCGCGCTGGCCCAATGCAGGTTGGGGACTTCATACGTTTTCCGAGGGCTGTGAACCTTCTTCAACGTGCAGGTTTCACCGCGATGTTTTCCTTCACCGAAAAGCTCATGATACATTTCAAATTAAATTTCGCACATAAATTCCGAGAAACCCACGACTGAGGTAGTAGGTCAAACCATTAGGCTACCACGGCTTACGGCACCAGTAAAAATTTGCAGTGATGACATTTAGAAAAAGTATACGAAAAATTTAAGATTTAATCTTTTGAATGTAGGTGCTTACTTTTTGCCATAACTTTTTGACTACTTTTATTGATACAAAGATTCCTTCGATCCGAATGGACTCGAACCAGGGTCTGTTGTCAACGGATGTTACGAATTCATCTATGTGCTTGTTGCGGATCTTTATATTGCATTTAAACGGCTTTTTTCAATACAATTAAATTCTTAATTATATAGGACATATATATATAGGACAGTAAGCTACCGAAGTCGGTAGCTTACTGTCCTATATAAATTTTCATAGTTTTATTCGTTGTCCATACAAACTTTCATCGCCTATTACACGCACCCTCTTTAATATTATTTTTTATTCTCTTAGGTATCAAGAGAAGGGATATAGGCTACGTATATAGAGATAAATGTATCTCGATATCAA